ATGCTAAGTATATAAGCAGCATGTCTACTTGTATCTAACACCGTGGCTGGGTAAAGCTTGGGCTCTGCAATCTAAATGTCCCCCACTCTAGGTCAGTAACACTAATCCATATTAACTGCACATAGTTCAGAGATCAGCTATCAAAAGGAAGAATAGTCTGGAAACAGATTCCCACTCAGACTGAAAAAGAACCACTGAGTATGCCAAGTGGGCAACAAGCAAAGACAAAGTGCTCAACTCCTTCAAAACACGAACATAACTGATTTGGAAATGTACATTCCACACACCTACATCATCAGTATTCCATCTTGGAGGTGATCAGCACAAGACTCTGGCACAATCTTCTCCAAGCCCTGTCCTCTCTTCTCACTCTGTACCCTGTGCCTCTGCTACAAACACTTACACACAGTGCTGGAATCACTGCTCTCATGCCTGGATGTACTGTGACATTCTCACAGGCAGGCACAATACCCACTCAGTCTTCTATAACCTTAGTGGGACTTCGAGAAACAAATGAGTAAACAGTGATTTTTTTTTTTAAAGCTGGAAACTGTCCAGGTATGTATTTACAAAGGTTTCCCAAAAGAGTCCACTTAAGTTTTAACAAGGAAGTAGATTCTGTTTTTGAAGTTATTTTCCACTGCAGATCCTCTTCCTCCCCCTTGGCCTATGTACGATCTTCTGCACTTCGCAGGGGCTCAATTGAGGGTAAATTCCTTCCTGGCTCCATCACAGCCCACAGTCATCCCTGGCGATGCTTCTGATGCCTGAGCTCCATGTTCCATACAAAAAGACATAAGCAGCCTGACTCAGCCCAGTGGGAAACAGCATTTGGGGACATGACTCGGTTCTGTCCTCAAAACACCTTCTCAAGAAAAAAAAACTTATCATGAAAATGGTCACCAATCACAGCACAATTACCAAGGCTACGGAGCCTGAGAGAAATGGTGAAGATGCTACACCGAAGGAAGAAGAAATAAAGTAAACTTCCATAAGCCGTGGGGAAGAGCCTACCCCATGTCCCCAAACACACATGTGCCATAATCCACTTCAGTGTGTGAAATGTTTTCATCCACTGCTTAAATTAGAAATCTCATCTCACGTTTTGACTAAAGGCACTCTATCATAGAAGATAAGACACCAGGCGGCGTAGCCCTTGTTAAGAGGTATCTAATTACAGAACAAGTGATGTTCTGTTAGCTGTATATTTTATTTGAGGATTCAATTCATTGATTTGGTACTAGAAATGGAACCTAGGGCCTTCACACTGAGCTACATGATGTTTTGGTTTCTGTTTTTGGTTTTGTTGTTTTTGTTTTGAGGCAGGGTCTCAGTCAGCCTCTGAGTTGCCCAGGCTGGCTTCGAACTTAGAATTCTCCTGCCTCAGCCTCCCAAGCCACTTGGATTACAGGTGTGCACCACCAAGTCCACATTTAGTTTGCCTTCTACATTTTACGTTAGGTGGAACGATCTACCTGAAATCAATCTTTAGGCACTTCAAAGTCATGTCATTTACCACTCAGGTACTGTTGCAGACTGGTTAACTGCTCTAGAGAGACTTGGGTCAGTTACTGGCATGATCTAGCTATTTGATGTGGATCACCTTTCTCGGGCTCCATAAAGTAGGGAGACTGACAGAATCTGTCTCAGAGCCTGCTTATCAAGGTTACATGGAAGAGAGCACAGAAAGCCATGGTGGCATACAGTAGAGCGTAAATGATGTCTGCCACTGCTCTGACCTCAGCTGTTCAGTTTCTAGTTAATACAGCACTTCCCCGGCCCTGTGTAAGAACCTTAATGGAGACTCCAAACCAGCCGTTACACTGATTTTTCTGGAAGTTCTCTTTAAAGACAGGGAATGAGGAGGAGGAGGGGAGGGAAAGGAATGAAGAGAAGGATAGAGCAAGAGAGGGGAAAGAAGAACATGTAGGAGAAAAGGCAGAAAGGGGGAAAACCGAAATAGGAGGATGGCATCGCCAGTCTTTCTCTCTAGAGACAGCAGGAACTCAGAAAACAGAAAGTCAGTTGTATTTGCAAATACTGTCTGTGGATAGGGTCTGCCAGGCACAGAATTTAAAATTTTATCTGTAGACGTCAAAACACATTCATCTCCAAGAACAAGAGCAAAACTTTGTTATAACAACCTCAAGTTCAAAGAGCAAAATCTACACAGAATTTCTTTTAAAAATTGGCTCATCTTCTGTTTCTCTAGTCCCTCTCTCTCAGAAGATATGTAATTTAAATTTTACAGGAACAATTTCCCAGCAACTTGAAGCACAACCTACCATCACCATGAATCACCAAAACACGTTTGCATCTTAGGGCTGTGTGCGTGTGCACATGTGTGCACTTTACTTTCCCCATTCCCTTCAAGAACACCTGACACAGCTGATCTAATTGTAGAACAGCAGTCTCATTAATGTACAATAACGACTTGGAAACTTTTTTCCTGGTAACTATTTAGTCAAATTACTGCATAAATAAACCTCGTAAGGACCCCTAGAAGATTCTAGAAAATGTACAAGAACACACAATTTCAAGGGACAACGGGTAATATCAGTCGGTCACCCCATATTTGCTTTGGACCCCTGACACTAGGTGCCTCGAGAGGAAGCCTGGGATTCATTTAACTCTTTTCTTTAAAAAAAATAGCATGGAAGTATTTGAATCAGCTCCTACCCAAGAGGATACGAAATCTGACATACTTGCCCCTACTATTTTGAATTCACTTCTTTCTATTCAAACTATAGACATTTATTGGCTGATTTTTCTTTTTTTTTAAGTTTCTAATTACTTTTTGTTTTCCCTCTAAATTCAATCACTCAATCTAGAATGATGGATACAGAGATGACTATAGATCAAAGTAGTAACTGGTTACACGTACTTAGAAGTTGGTCCTGTGATATGCAGTATGGCCATTGTTTAAATATTTCCTATAAAGAGGACTCTCTGTTGATCAATGTCTGTAATCATCAGAAAAAATTTAAGTATCACAACATCAACAATTGATTTCCTCTGAATGTTCACTGTGAACAGACCCTTTGCCAAGCACTTTATATGTAGCACCTCAATTAATCTTCACACTGAAACTATTAGGATAACATCATTGTGTCCATTTTACTGTGGAAAACCAAGGATCACAAGAAATAAGCAACTTGCCTGAAGACACACAGCTGTTAATTGATGGAGTTGTAACAACCCCCCACCCCACCCCCACCCCCGGTCTCAGGCATCCAAATGCAAGTCTCCCAGGCCTCTTTCACAGGCCCTAATTTCAATCTCTGTTGACCCCTGCCACTATGACAGCTCTTCAAATATCTGGAAACCATCCATGCAACATTTGGCACTATGCTGAGCTTTCCCCTACCTTCCTCGGCATAATGGAGAGGAGTCTGTGAACTTTTTAAGCCCAGATTCCTACAGATGGAGGGGCATACGAGTAAAACCAAGGGAAAACTGGAATAAACCCTGTAGCTACACTTGCTTTCAGCTTCTTGTTTTGATCATCAGTTTTAGAAGTCACATGCCTAATCAGTATGCTCTCAGTTCTGCTGTATGGTCACAATGGTAAAAACTGTTCTGGCAGTTTTTAGGCATGTGGAAACTGCTACTGCCTATCTCAAGCTGGTTAATACCACCAACGCTTCATCTGGGACCTGGGCAGCTGTCAGATGCATGACCTCTTGACCCTAGAGGCCCAAAGACTCCATCATCAGATCGTGCTACCATGCATCCAACGAGGAGCCCCAAAGTCTGACTATGGATATGCAGGCTATTCATTGCTTAACTTCGCCTTGCCTCCAACAAACTTGCCCCATGCCTCAAACCACCCTGTTTCTTCATCCCACACATAACATAAACCTAAACATAAACCATGCATAAACCATAAACCACATCCTAAAAGTGGGATTTGGGGATCCCACTTCTTCACTCCCCATCTCGTGAATAAACCTTTTTGCAAAATTCACTGTTCAGTGCTGAGCATCCCGTGCAGTAGCAAAACGGGCCTTGCTGGGTGACAAGAGAGAGAAGGGAAAGCCTGGCGGCCCATCTTCCCGCAACACAAGATCCCGCACTTCCTGCCACTCTGCCTCTTCAGTTCCACTTCGCCTCTGTTCTCCAGCCCCATGAGCTGACGTCACAGACCTATGGTCTACCAAGAACCACCTCTCGTCTGTTCGGACCAGGAGGCAGAGCTGCCCTCTAGGCTATGCAGTGAATGCCCTTCTACAGGAGCAGGGCGGAGGGCCCCCAGGACAACCCGCCAGTTGCTGTCCACTTAGTGTTTACTGTGTATGCACTGAGGTCAAATGCCCAGCCCTTTACTTTTCCTGGAGAACTTCTACTCTAAAAATTTAAAAATTAAATCCAGATAGAGATTTTTTTTAAAAAAACCTCAAAACTATGAAATTAAGCTTAGAAGCAATCATTTTTTTAAAGCAATGGTCCTGCAGAAAACAGCAGGAAAAGCCTTTCCCAAGTACACAGAGATAAGGGTAGCATTTAATCGATGACCTTATCTTTCCACTTTCTCTCAGTTAATGGCACTAAGTGGAAAGTGCCACAAAGGAAAGGACTAAGTGTTTTGGGCCTTCGTGGTTTTATATTATATTTTGTGTATTGATGAAATATCTGCTGAATTTGGGACATTATGCTGAGTGCAATAAGAACAAAAAAGGATTACACAGTAGCTCTGTTCTTGAATAGCTTAGAAGACTCACTGCACTCATGTGACTGTACCAGATGCCTCTGGGGCAGAGAGAAAGTGACATGTCAACAAGCAGCAGCCAAGAGCTGACCTGCAGGGATGGGACTCCTGTGCAACATGAGAGGTGAAAAGCGAGGCCTTCCAGAGCCCAGGGCCAGAGAGGGGTCTGGGGGCCATGGAGGAGACAGGACAGCACCGCTGCCCCTGGAGGAGTGGGCCCTGTCAATGAGGCTGCACGGCAAGGCAGGGTCCCTTTAGACACCTGTAAATAAAACCCAGGACTTGTTTCTACCTGAATTGACCAGCTGCTGTTCCATGACTCCACAGCCAAGAACTTCCAGCCATTCTCCACGGAAGTTGATCTCCATCTCGAAGGAAGGATGAGTGAAAGGAAAGTAGCAGTCCACCCATCGAGTCTCCAGCCCTGCAGAGGTGCCAGGAAAAAACAAAGCATTAAAAGTCTACCCTTCCTTGTGACCAAGTTTGCCCTTTGGCTAAAGACACCAATTACTACAATCTGAATAAAATAAATAGCAAACAAACTAATTTGCAACATGTTAGGGTGAGGCAATAAATCTTAAAACTTGTGAAAAACTAGGCATGTCTTTCCCAATTTGAAAAACACTCTGTGTATTTCCAGGACCCTCTGAAACCAAATCAATCACCTGTCAATTCCCCGGAAGCACTTGACAGCGGGAAAATTAGGCCAAGATCCGGTGAAGGGAGGTAATTCTGTTAGTTTCTGTAAATGGCAATGGCATCATTTCAGTTTCAAAAAAAAAAATCTGTATTTTCCTATACCAAATTTGCATATCAGCTTATAAAAGAAAAATCTCTGAGATTTTTGGGTTTAATTATAAGAGCCAAAGGATCAACAGGGAAGAGATAAAAGAAGTTAGTTAATTAACAGATGCAGGAAAAAGAAAAAGACATTGACCTTTCTAAACATGTGTTGAAACCTTCACTCAAAGCCACCACAGCCCACCCCTGGGGTTTCCCAGGCGACCTGTAGGCCTACGAACTTTCTGGAAGGTTAACTCCCAACAGGTCCCAAGCAGCAAGTACAGCGTTTCTCCTATGAGCTGTTCTGCTGTCCCAAAGCATTCCCTGCTTGGTGTAACCCTGCCTCTCTTATCTACAGCTACACAGATCTGTGCCTTCTAGCCCAAATCTTTATTATTTCAAAGACAGTCTTCACTCCAGTCGTGTAGGCCTATTTCCAACTGCTACCTAGCACTGCTGCTGGTAGTTTTCAGAACTCGTCCCGACGCCGTCCTTTGCTGGCCAGCACCTACAATGGCTCGGTAAACCCTTTTGACTCAGAGATCCCTCAGTCTCAAGAGTTTTGGCTTTACAACCATACGACTAGTTTAAGAAAAACTGATCAACATTCACTCAGGTGAATATGTTTTAATTTTTTAAAAACTGCTTATAAGAGACGAAAAAATTATTATATTATTAGTACAGTAAGATCTATTTGCCAGACTTAAGGAAAACATTTAAAAAGTAAAACATTTTTCCTACAGATGAATGACAAATACACTTAGGTCTAAACAAACACAAAAAGTCACACTAAATGCCAGAACAGATTTTTAATAAGCAATTGGAAACATGGCACTTTTGACCAATGATATTATTATTAACAAAGAAAAAGACGGGTGAACCCTAAGCAGGGAAAGCCCACACTGGGCAGGGGTCCCTGACAGAGGGGAACGAGTTGAGTGGCCCTGAGCTAGGCCGACTGTCGGAAAGGCAGAGCACACGTATCCGATGCATCACCTCGTGCTTCTCCCTCAGGGGCATGGTTGGGCTCTTCTTCCGGGCAGTCTAGACCTGGTTACCGGGGCCAAAATGCCCCCTTGTGAATTTAAACCCCTTTACGTGTTCACTCAAGACTGTCTGTATTTTAAATCTTCTGAAAATCGGAATGTGAAATGAATAAAAATAACAAAACACAAATTAGAAATAAAGAGTAAAATAGAAGATAACAGGAAGTAGGGTGAGGCATCTTCCTCCAATGGTAAAGGGATCAAGAGACAGAACAGGGGAAGGGGATGAAAAAGGAACTGAGATGTGTTATGTCCAGTTACCAGATCCACACAAGGAATGGAAACATTATGTACTTTAAAAATGCACTAATAAAAAAGTTTTAAAGTTAAAAAAAAGAAAATTGCTTTCATCTCTCGAGCACTTACTGTGTCTCTATAAGCCCATTCAGAGAAATAGGAAAAACTTGCTGGGAAAGTCAAGCGTCTTGCCCCAAGTCACACAACCAGCAGATAGCCGGAAGAAACTCTGGTCTGCTCAACCCTAAAACCCCAAACTTCACAATTAAAACATAATCCCCTAGCCCAGTGTGGTAGCACACACCTGTAATCCCAGCACTCTGAGAGGCTGAGGCAGGAGGATCACAAATTCAACCGCAGAATGGGCAACTTGGCAACTTAGGGAGTCTTTGTTTCAAAATAAAAGACAAAAAGGGCAGGGCACGTTGTTCAGTGCAAAGGCCTTGGGTTCAATCCCCAGTAGCGGGATAATGATAACAATACCTTGCCCATCCATCAAAAATCAGATGAGAACAAAATTATGAGACATGGGACCTTCCCTGTGCCCCAAATTCCAAAGAAGAGCCTAGCTCTTTCTCTGTTCTGTTTTTGCTGCATTTATTTTCCTGGTTACCCATTGTCTACGGCAAGGGTCAAGTGACTGTTGTAATACAGTATCTCCCCTATTTTATATGTGGCATAGAAGACAGACACGAAGCTGCACATGGGGAAGTGCGCAATCTGACAAATGGGGACAAATGGACCCATGAAACCTCACCCCGATCATGATAATGAACATATCCGTCACCCTACAACTTCCTTGTGCCTCTCTGCCCCCACTGCCGATAGTCCCACCCTTTTCCCCTGGCCCTCCACATTCCCAAGCACCCACAGATCTGATGTTACAGCTGAGTTCGGATGCCCTAGGATATTATAAAGATGGAATCACCCAGAATGCATGCTCGTCTGGCTTCTTTCACTCAGCATAATTGCTTTAAGATTCATCCCTGTTATTACACATAGCAATAGCTTAATCCTTAGTGCTGAGTAGATCTCACCGATGCTTTTTCCCTCCGGGTGGGGAGAGGGGAGCGGTCCTCTTGGGGGCCATTAGGGAAATGTCCCCAAGTTGCCCTAGTAATCCAGACTTGTCTGTGTGAAGCTCACATGAGCAGGGTAGTCGCTTACTTGCAGCAGTATCTGAGGAGATGGTATTTGTATACCTGTGTACATGCCCTTCTTTGGGACCTACAATTCCCTCTCAACATTTTTATAAAAAGCAGCAAAGATGATCCTACTGGCAAACAAAAGTGTGTGAAGCCTTGGGACTTAAGACTGAACCCAGGCAGACTTACAGACAAAATCACCTTTGTCATTTTTTAACTTCTACTAGTAAAGTACAACTCATTTTAGGAAAACAGTTTAGAAAAATAAATCTTGTGTGCCTGGCTTTTTTATGCTTGGCTTGAATCTTACCAAAAACAGCAATAGAGTCAGGGCTAACATCACAATTTCATCTCATACAATTAAATATTACCCAAGTGCTTGGAACATGTAAGGCGAAGTCTGCACAAGCTAATTTCCTAAGTGAACCTTTTTAAAAACTCTTCTGGACTGACTACAGAGTTTAGTTCATATAGTTTTATATCTCACACCTATAATATCTTAGATTTCCCTAATGTGAGTCAAGGAATTTTTGTCCCATAACCTCAAAAGAATCATCTGTTGGTTAAAGTCATCCCATGATGGATGTCCACCAGCCCTAAGTAAGTGGCCCCTGCATGCCCCCCACAGGAGGCCAAGGCTCCAGACAGAGGCCCCTGTTTACTGGCACCCATGGGGTTGGTGCTGATGATGCCAGCCTGGCACAAGAACGGAACAACACAATGGCATAAGGTCTCTTCTCTCCGGTAACCTTTTACTAAAGGCTTCCGGTTCATTGCTTCCATAATTAGAAATAGATAACTTTGATTTGTTCTGTAATGCGGAACAAATTCTGAAAATAAAATGTCCCATACGTTGCACTGACCCTGGCTCTTTGGGGCAGAAGACCTTGGCCACCATGGCCCTCAGTTCCTTCCGACTCAAGTCACCCTACAGCTGTCATTGGATGGCAATGAAAGTCCCTGCTCCTGCTGAAAACTGCCCCCAGCTAAGCATGAGAAGGCAAGGAAGCTGGCCAAAGTTTCCCAGAAGCCAAGGAGGTGGTAAACATGAATGACCTGAACAGCAGGGCCCATTGATAATATAAGAACTGACACGGAACACAGATTGGCAAATGTCGTGTCTAATGCGAATGAGCCAATTTCAATCCTTTCACTCTCTCAGAGCCTTCACTAAGTCTCTTTTTAAAATCAATACGACCTTGGAAAGAAGGCCAGATCGACACCATTCATTTCCCCTGCTCCTCTACGTTCTTCGATTATCGGTTTTTCCTCCTTTACATAAAGAGACAAAAAGCCAAATCCGCCAAACCTATTTTTGAGCAGTCTCTGGCTCTACTTCAAACAGAGACAGTAATTCTCTGAAGGCAAAGTATATTAGCTAATGTGTATTACCAAAGTACCATATTCTTTTATATATTCTAACAACTTAAATTTTAATTACATTGACAAATGAACATTGTTTTCTTTTAAATCACTGGTATTAAAATTATTTATTTGATATTTTGATATTAGCCTGAAAATACACTTATTCTGGTTTTTTGCCCCATGACCTCAAAATTACTGTACTATTATATCTGGTTGAAAACTCATCTTGACATCCTTTTCATAATTAAAAAAAGACACTATATAACTGGTTCAAAATGATGACATATTTCACATCTCAAACAACAGGACTCAGTAAAAATATCCACTAAAAACTACACATTTTGTATTACACATTAACGGAGTGAAATTTTTAATAACTATGTCCAAGACATATGGATCCATTATTCACTAGAATAACCTCTTACTGGGGTTAGAGAGGGAATTTAAACCTTATGTATTATATATCTAATGGAATGCAATGTCAAGGTATTTTTCTTTTTATTTGGAGGGATAATAACTTCCTTATCCACATTTACACAAGAAGTTCAGAGCTTTTTTAAATGGCTTCAGAAGTCTGTGAGATTACAGCACTGACCGCTTTCTCTTCTGAATGGGAATGCTGAGTTGGTTCAAGGATTAAGAGAGCCCAAAGTCTAGAGGCAATTTCTCAAAGGTGACCTCCAAAATGGTAAGCGGAAGTTCCTTTCACCATAGTGATGTGACCCCACATGGAAGTCACGAAGCGAGAAATCCAATTCTTTCTCAACTCTGGTGGAGGCTGCTACCTGACACTGAGACGGGGGCCCAGGAAGAGTGTCCCACCTCACCCACTCCATGCACAGTTTCTA